CAACCTAGAAATCTATGAATCTATGAAGTAGTGTAGCATTACCATAAGCGGGTTAATTTTCACTGTTGAAGACACTGACTTGTTACAGTGTGGTTGTCAGTCCAGAACATCCTACTTGGTCATCTTTGGTTAGCACAGCACTACGAGGAATAAATGAGTGTTGGTCTAACACTGTGTTTTTGCTAATTTTCCCTGTCTACCTCAGAATGCTACAGTGAAAGTGAACACGATGATCCAGAAATAACAGACACACCACCTCCCCCCTACACAGCTCAGCCACCACCTCCTCCTTTGGTAAGTATTACAGTAATTAGCTTGTTTCTTGTTGCTGGTTAGTTGGAACAAAACCTTTTTGAGGTGGTGGACTTTTGAGGAGTAACCTAAAACAGTGGCTGGAAGTGTTTACCCTGTGTGTGCGTGAAAGGAGGATGCTCTCGCTGGCTGCCCCTATAGCCTGTGCAATAGCCTGCACAGCTATTGCAGTCTGTGCTGCCCAGAGCCTCATGCTGTAAAAGAACAGCTCCTTCACATGGAGGTATATTTATCCTGCTGGAGAAAGGAAAGTGTCACTCTACCTCATACACATGCGGTGTCTTTTCTTTACAAGCAAGTTTCTTTTTAACACACTGCAGTAACCTAGTTTTTCATACTACTCTTTTTTTTAATCAGTCCCAAATCTTCTTTCTTTTTGTGACCCTGGTAGCATCATCCAACAGATTTGTATTTATTTATTTGAGTGAGCTGTTCTTAAGATTGCTGAATTTGAAGCTTCTTTTGTGGCAGTGAATAAAGAGGCCTTTCCTTACAGTGATAAAATTGGTTCTTTTCTTCTACCTCTGAGAAATATACTATAAAAAAAGAAAATAGGCATCCTCCCAAAAGCTATCCTATTTTTCTCTCTTGCTGTAGCGTATTTGCGCAGAACATTCTTTCCTGCCTCGCTTCATTTCATAAATTAGAATAACCACTATGCACCCTCATGTGTCTCATCAAATTGACTTGCCTAATTATTAGCCACTTGTTGCCCCATTAATCTTGTTGCTATACTGTTGCTTTTCCCAGTGATCTCATCTCTACTTACGTGTGCTTTAAGATGCAAGGCTTACGTAATTCTGTGCTTAGAAGTGAGTAATCTGTTTTGGGATGGTAATGCATCTGAAATAAGGAATCCTGAGTTCAAGCTTTTCCCTTCCACAGCTGAAAAATAACATCGAGGGATGTGCAAGTAATGTACTTAGTACTAAATCATCTTGTTGCATCTCACAGAAAGGAAGTGTCCGCTGCCTCATTGGTGTGGTACAGGTTCCTGTATGACATCCAGTAGTTGGGATGGGCACAGAGGCAGCGAAACAGGAACAAATTTGAAATATACAGATGAGCTGGAGAAGCTTGGGCAGTCACAGGCAATAATAAAAGGAGATGTCGTGCGCAGGGTTGCCTGTCTGGCCGTCTTCAGTTGGCTGGCGTAAAGCTGGGAGTGTATGTCACACTGTCACCCACTTGCCCCCTTCTGCTTCAGTCAGACAAGTCAGTCTTCACATCCTCTCCTGAAACAGTTGTGTAACATTAATTGCTGTAAAACAATCCACCTGGCACTTGGGGCGTGCAGGGTGTTCACTGCTGTGTGAAACGTGATTCTTTATTGCCTGTTGTAACTGGAAGTTAAACGTGGCTGAGTGGCTATAAATATCAGAGGAAATAAGAACCTCGGCAACATGTCTCCAAGAGTTACTCTGGGCCAAGGGCTGATGATGAAGCATCTTGAATGTTATACCTCAGTGGCTTGCCTTCAAGAGGCTGCAGATGCCTTTTCCGTCTGCTCACCTCTGAGTGAATGCCTGCATTTTTCCAGATGATGAGCTTTAAACAGGTGTTGTTTTTTAGTTTTCTGTTTTTCTGGCTTCCTGCTGCTTCTCAGCCTGTTGCAGCAGAGGCGATCTCCGGTTGTCTCCTTCCCATATGCTCTTCTTGAGTTCTGGCCTCCGCCTTTTAGCAGGGGATGCGTGGGAGGCAGGCAATGGTGCAGGTGCCGAGGAGTCCTGCTTCCTCAGCCTTTCCCTTATAGATTATCTTCCCTCCAGACTTTACCTCTCTCAGCTGATTTCCCTTCTCCTCATCCTCAGCTTAAAATCTCAAGGTTAGTCTCTCCCGAGCAAAACTGTCATCTTTTCACCCCTGGTGAAAGTGGCCACTGGAATAAGCTCCAGCTGCCATGGGTCTGCCCTATACTCAGCTTGCTTACATGGTAGGTAAGGAGGAGTTAGGTACCAAAGCAGCTGTGTTTGACTGCAAGTCAGAGTCTTCTTTTAAATATCTGATTTAATGCCCCTTTCCCTTCTATACAAGTACTGGAGCAAGAAAGCCACTGGAAGGATTGGGAAAGCACAGCTTCTACTGGAAAGTCAGTTCTAGCAGTGGAACTGTTGGTTGTCTCAGGGAAGGCTGGTTAAACATTGTGTGCTGCCTGTTTACTTGTTGTGGAGTTTTTGAATCAAGCTGTGAGGTCCCAGACATGATGGATTTGGGTTGATGCTCTATGGGTACACCACTTTTGAAAGGTGGGCTTGAATCTTTTCAGATTGCTAGTGGAAGAGACATCCTAGAAACCAGCCCAACATCCAGAATGCCACAGGCATTGACTGGTGCTCATTTCTTTTTATTATTTTAATCTTTTTTTTTTAAAGTTCTTCCTCCCGAGTGCCAAAGAGATTTTGCAAAATAGGAATTAGGTGCTATGAACATTTTGGAAAATCAAAACAATGCTGTCTTAAGCAGAAAGGCTTCCAAACTTCTGGAGATCAACTCCAGACTGAAAATTATTAGTCTGGAAACTAATAGCCACCCAGGTGCAGGCTCTGTTACGTGTTAGAGCATCAAACATTTTGCTGTACTTCTAGCACAAAGTTTTCTCTCAGTGTTCTGTTCTCTGTTGACCCAAACCATTTTGAAACTTGAAAAACAAAAAAAGTAGTGATCATGAGATTTCTACGTTTATGCATGCTGTGGAGGAAAAAAGCAAGTGAGGAACAAGTAAATCTTAACATCTGTAGGATAAAAGTTAAACTGACCATCTGCATTAATTTCTCCGCATGTGAATAGATTTGCTATTTGGTTTTAAAAACCAGCAGCTATGTTGAGACAGTAGAGTGTAGGAGTCCCAAAAGAGCAGTTGAGGTGTTTCATGGTGATAATTTTTCTCTAAAAAATGCCTAGAAGACTCACTGATCTCCAGTGGAATCCTTATGATCTGCTGGCTCAAGCATCTGCTTTTTAAAATGTCTCCAAATGGATATTTATTATTATATGGATGATTGTAAATCTTCCAAAGGAACCACTTGAGTAAGTTGAGTAAACTTTTATCATGCCAAAGAAAAAAGACACAACACATATGTAGAGAAAAAGCAACACATTCTGGCAGTCATCTTTACTCTCACCCACATTTTTTTATTTAACACACAATGAAAATGAAAACAAAAATATATTCCACTCAATGAGGCACAGTTTTCATTTAAATGGCACTTTTGCATAGACAAACTCCAGAAAAATAGAGATGACATCTAACATCTTCCTTTCCTGTCTTTGAACAATTCAAATTAGACCATCCACACCATGTGAGAAAGAGCTTTTACAGTTTGATTGTTCTGCTTGGCTCTACTAATGCTTCAACAACTTCTCTTTACAATAGGAGCTCTTAGATGAAACGCTTCAGCTCACTTGTGTTCCCAAGGACATTTTTATCACTCATACATGTGTTTTATGACAGCATCTCCTTGTACTTTGCTTTAGACTGCATTTGTGACGGTTTCCCTTTTAAAAAACAAAAATGCACCTGAAACGCAATGTTGTACTTCTCATAACAGGAATGTAAATTAAGTCTGGTCCTGCAGTGTTTGAGACAGTCTTGGAGGAATGGCTTTGAAAATTTACAAAAGTGAAGAAAGTGCTACAAATAAATGGTGACCCACAATCTGATATTGGTCCTCTTCATCTTCTGCATTGATTAGTAGCTATACGATACAGCTAGTTTAGAAGCACAGTAAGGCAAATCCACTTTGCTTTTTTTTTTTTTTAATGTAAAAAAGAAGTAGTATACATTACAGCAATACTGAATTGCAGAAGTTTATATATCATAATAAAAAAAATTGTCTCTCTTGGTTAGGTTTATATGAATACATCTTATTTCTAATTTAACAGGTTATAAATAAGTGTTCCAGGCTAGTCCCTTTATTGTGTTTGCAGCTTGTGCGGGTTTCCGTAGCAACACCTTCTCAGTAATTTTCAATACTTCCAGTCTAGCTATCATCTGTTTTAATCCTTACACGGATCTATTCTACATATGTCTTGAGAACATAACTTGCCAGAATTGTGGTCCATCAAGTCTGCTATTCTGATTCTGGCATTGGCCAGGAGCAGAAGATTTGCAGAAGTAGTTTTCTGCAGGAGCAGATACGAGAAATCTGTCTTTCGTATGCTGATGATCTCATCACGATTTCTCATAGTTTCTGCCAGAAGCTTCACTATAAGGCTTTGTTTCCCTTTGTCTTTCGTTACTTTATTTATTTACTGTCAATTAATCCCCTTCTGGATATTTGTATTGTATGTATATTTGTGTTTGTGTATGTATTACTTGTGTGTTTGACTCTCTTGGCTCATCTTTTCAGCAGTGTTTGGCGGCTAAGAAGCAGACTAGTGCTAGTTCTTCTTGTGTGAGTTGCTTTTGGTGACCAGATAATAGTACAAGTCAATCAATGTATATGCCTACTGTAGACAAAGACCTGGGCATCTATTTGCTTTTCTGGGAAGCTAAGTATTATACTAATATTCTGTTTTTTCTTTCAACCTTTTTTTTACATGGAATTGTGCATCTATCATATCCTCTTTCATTCAACTCCTGGCTGCTAATGGTGACTGTTAGATGTCTCTGAGATCTCTCTGGTTGTATGTGCTCCTGTTGAGGCAGAGTGACAAGTACAGTATGAAGGATCTTAGGATATCTTAATGATTTCTGAAATGTTTCTAGTGAAGTTTGGGTCCTTTCCCAGATTCATGTGCTGAAGGATGAATCTTAGCAGGTGAATGAGCAGCACAAAACTTGTACCATTCCTCTTTTCTTGCCCTCTTCCCCATGACTGTTTGTTTTTAATTTTCCCCGTTAACTTGCTGTCATATTACCTGACAGAATTCTTGTCTTGGTGAACGGCAAGTTCCTTGAATGGATCAGGTAAAATGGCTTTGTGTGCTGAGAAGGCCAAGGTACTTCAGTGCTTGGGCTTGTTTCTGTCTATCCATGGTTATGGCACTGGTGGGTTTATTGAATGTTTCAAGACAACTTCTTGTTCAATGGCTAATTCAAGATTTTTCTTCTGAAATCTTGATTAGACCGGTAAAGTGAAGACAAAGTGAAGAGTAAACATAAGCGTGAAACCTAGCATGGAAGGCTACATTCAACACAATGTTTTTTCTTGGTCTTTTGTTTTTAGGCACTGTCAGGTTTTTATCCTTTTTACCTCTGGCTTCCTTATGGCTTAGTCTCTGAAGTTACTGCTCTATAGGAGATTGGCTGCCATACCTCAGACTTGTTTGGATGGATACTTAGTCAGATTACATCATTTTTTGGTTAGTTAACATTTCAGTTGCATATCTATAACATATAAAACCTAGAAACAAGAATAACTTGGAAATAATTTTTCTTTCTCCCCTCCTCGTGTTTCCGGAAATCAGGATCAACAGAAGTCTTCTTTCACCTCGACTCTGTCAAGTGAAGCATCTTGTTCTCTCTCCTCTCCTGAAAGCACTTTCAACTCCCAAGAGTCATCTTCTTCCCTGGCTTCCAAAGTGGTTTATTCCGAGAGGCAGTCTTGGCTTGACCTAGTTAACAGCTCTGCCACAGAAGAGGGTGATCAACCTGTAACCTTCTGCGTACAGATTCACTCTGATGAGCTGCCAGAAGTAGACTGTGGAGAAGCAGCAGAAATCCAGGAGGTCCGGCTTTCCAAACCCAGTGGTGGATCCCAAAACTCTTTTTCAGGTCTGGATACACATTGTCTAGCTGTGCCAGATGCAACAGGACAGAGATCACTAGCCAAAGGTGAGCTAATGAGAGAGGAGAGTTTTGTCTGCAGAGCCACACAATGTGGGAGTTCAGAGGTTTTCCTCAACTTCCTTTCCCCTTCCTGCCTTTATGTTCTTCACTGAAGAGTTTTCCAGTGGCACATCATTTATAACATTTATAACAAACGTTTGGTTTATTGCACATTAGATATATAACCTAGTATCTAACTGCTAAGTACCTTTACAGTTTTTCTCAAATGTTAAGATCATAGCCTCTGTATAAAATCCTAACATAGATGTATTTTTATTAGCTTTCTTTATTTCAATATAGCTGTCTTTTATTAGTTAGGATTGAATTAAAATTTTAAGAAAGCGTGTCACCGAACTGACAAAATGGCATATGTAGGAAGTGGTGAACCTGGGTATAGGTCAATTCAATTAAAAAAATTGAAAAGCAGTTGCGTTTACTTCCAGTACGTGTTCCCTATTTGTTTCATTGAGCTTCACTGTAATCAAGGGGAAACAGCTGCAGTCCTGAATGAGAATGTTCAGTAAGACTGGATTTTATGTAAGCAAATGAGTCTCTGCGTAGGTATCCTCCTAGTGAAATGTATTGCTAAATTAAAAAGGTGGCATAGTTCTAGAATTTGGTACTTGTTACTGTTAATAACTCTATTGCCATAGCAAGGCAATGTGTCTTGCCTTTTGAGCAAAGTGGCTTCTTCCTGCATTAAGAGCAGCTGAAGTATGAGAGGCATTTATGGCATACAATATGCTGAAATGGGAAGATACTCAGCACGATGCCTAGAGAGGTAATACATAAGGAAGCAATGATGTTCGTGCATCAGCTGTACCCATGATTCCAAATCCTTGTAAAAGTTTGAAGTGAGTACTCTGTTGCTGAAAGAGCAGTGTTGTCTCAGTACAGTGCAAACAAAGGTGCATCCAAAAGCTCAGGCTGAAGGTAAAACAAAGGTGGAAAGAAACAACACTAGACTCATTGGGAACTTAGGGTCTTTTTCTGTAGGTGAACTTGGCACTGATTGAAAAATAGTGCCAAGTCCAATTGTTTTGCAAATATCAACAGTTATTACCCTTTTAGTTTGTTGTTTAGTTTCTCTTTTTTAGGAAAAAAAAAAGGAAATGGAGCAAAGTACAGATTTTAGCAGAAGTGAAAATTAATTGAGAGTGTTTTGTGCTCAGCTTCATTATCCATCTTCTAGGCTGCTCTACTAGAGACTTCTGTAGCAATGAAGATCAGAAATAATTAAAATGGAGAATGAGCATATGTACTATTTCTATGTGGCGGATAAGAGAGTTACTGTGGAATCTAATTCCCACAAGCTCTGGCTTTGCAAGTAGTGAAAAGGCTAGGGCTGGCAGAAACGTGGTCCCTAATGAAAATGTCACAAAGACATAGTAAATACATTGGCCTCTGTAATTTCACATTCTGGGTTAAATTTGAATGCCTTTAGGAAGCATTATTAGGTACATTCAGGTGTGTTGTTGTAGTGTAGGTCATGTATGGCATGGTGGCTTACAGATCCTGTTGAGCAAGACTCAGCAGTTGCTCTTCAGAAATCTAAACTTTTGCTTAAAATGTGTTACTCTGGTACTGCCAGCAATCCTGCAATAACGCACAGGTTAATGTTTTCCATAAGTGTAAGGGTGACAAGTACTTGTATGGATGGTCATAGAATTAGCATGACACATCCGTAATCATTTAAAGCATCGTTTGATAGGCTCAATAATACTAAGCAATAAAAATAAGATTAAAATGTAAATCAAAGCACATTTTGAGATATTCCTGCCATTTGCAGGGTGGTTTTATTTTCCAAAAAATATTTCCGGGGAAATGAATCCATCTGTTGCTCTCTACTTAGTTGATGGTCAACTCTGATCGCAGAACACTTCCATCCTAACCACACTGGTGATCTCTGATGGAACTCCAGAAATAGATCATTTCAATGAGACCGTCACTATGGAAACTGTATAACCTCACTAGTTACTGTCTGCATCATAACCCATTGTTGAGCAAGTACGACGTACACCATACATACATTTTTCTTTCCTTTATCAGTCTTCACAGTATGAGAGGGAATAGTGAGTGTTGGCATGTGGGGCCCTCCCTTGCAATGAGCATTGAAAAAATAAATGAAATAATTTGCAAGAAGATTAGTTAAGCTACTTCAATTTGAGAATGAGGTAGAAAAAAAGGATTAACGTGAAATAGCAGTTCAATTCCAAATAAAAGTTAGCAAAAAGTATGCAATTCTGGTTCTGTGGCTTATCTCCCAAGAACTTCCCTCTCCATCTAGTTGGTAAGGATGTGCACAAATACTGCGAGATGAATTCAGATTGTGGGGTAAAAGCTAGCTAGCTCCAAGACCTCATGATTTACAATAACCAGTAAGAGCACCCTTGTTATCTGATGTGAAACAAGAATGCATACCTCAGTGCAGTCCGTATTATTTGCTTTACAATGTTTCTGAGTAGTGCATTTCTGATGACTTGTCATATTTCAGAGTTATGATACTACTTCCAGGAGGAGATAGGTCCATCTTGCATCAACATCTGTCCTGAAAGCTCATGTCCTGTCTGCATAAAGCTGGCCCTGCTGTTATCAGAACAGCTCTGTAGCCTTTGAACCCCCTCCCCATAGAACCTTCATGTGTATTCACTCTCTTTCCTTCTCATAAGGATAAAAAAAACACCCTATCACACACTCTGTTTTGTGGCCACATTCTGCTTAGTGAAACCCTGTCATGGTTCAGGCCACTCTGGCAACTAAACTCCATGCAGCCGCCCACTCAACCTCCCCCACCCCCCGGGGATGGGAAAGAGAATTAAAGGGGAAAAAGGGAAAGAGACCTGTGAGTCGAGATAAGAACAATTTAATACTACTACTACTAATATCTGAATGTATATATAAATATGTATGTACAATGATAATAATATATACAAACAAGTGATGCACAATGTAATTGCTCACCACTCCTTGGCCAAGGCCCGTCTCATCCTGAAGTAATGATCCAGAAAACGGATAAGTCCTGACACTGCAATCCCAGATGAGTGAGAGGACTGAAAATAGAGAGCGAGACAGAGATAGCACTCCGAGAATCTGAGAGCGAGAGCCTTGGAAGAGGAAAGGCCCTTCTTTCTGGCTGTCCCTCACTTTCATACTGGGCATGACACTGCATGATATGGAATACTAATTGGCCAGTTTGGCCCTCAATCCTAAGTCTAAGTACAAACCATAAGGATAGTCGTGGACCCCCTGTCCCAGCTATGCTCCCCCCTATCCTGTTGTGCTCCTGAACACTGGCAAGAACATGGCAAGCTGAAAAGTCCTTGAGACCTCAGTGCCAACTACAAACATCAGTGCACTATCAGCATTCTTCTCAGAGCAAGTCTCAGACTAAACCCAAAACACAGAGCTCTTCTGGCTGCTAAAAGAAGAGCTAACTCTGTCCCAGCTGAAATGCGAACAAACCCCATGACAAATTTTTGGTTGCAGCTGATAGCAGGCTAGAGATGAGGTGAAAGTTTTCGAGAACTGAAGAGCACTTTTGGTGGCAAAAGTCAGAACATGAGGCCAATGTGAGAAAAGTTGGTACCTAGAAGGAAGAAACGGTAGCTGTGGCTTTGCGGGAAGAGCTGATAATGAAAATATAAAAATAGTGAAGAAACCTCAGTGAAGAGTTAAACAACGAGAAAAAGATTTCTCAGACATAAATGGATGAATCTCTGAAAGAGGAACTGCAGATTCAACTAAATGATCATGGATTATTTTTTCAATGACGAATTATTTAATGAAGCAACTGTAAGTGTCTGGTGCAAGAAGCTGTACCATATGATATTATAAGGACCCTTCCATCCATTCTTAGTGTTGTTATGACCATTCTCAGCCTCAGATTACTGGGGACAGGTTACGTACCAGAGGGTAATACAAAGGTACAAAAAAGGAGAGTTTAACACTTCCCTTTTGAAAGGAGATCACCATTAGGTTTTCATTTTGTTTGTGGGAATATTTAATACTTCCATGTTGCAGCTTGCTACACACACAATGACAAAGGATTCAAAGCCCCCTGTGACACAAAGAAACTGAAAGGTAAACAAGAAACAGTTGAGAATACAAACAACTATCTGACTACGTGCTCTATATCCAGAAGTTGGCCTTGCCCTGTCTGGGATGGCTAGATACACTCTGCAGCCAAACTCCATCCTTTATGTTTCTTCTGGCAACCTCTGGAACAAAAAGCATCTGACTATGACCCACCCCCACCACCATCAAAAACTGATAACAGAAGGAAGCTGCAGAAATTGAAAGGTTGCATACACATAGGAATGTGTATGTGTACTTTAGAGATCTTCTACTATAGTAATAACATCCTTCTTCCTTGCATTTTCTGAGGATTTTATGATCATGTGAAGCTAATGCGTCTTGGCAAGGAATTCTTATGGTACCGCTTCTGATTTATTTATTTTGCCTTGGCTCACAGTAGCTGGTAGAAGACTTGATGTGTGCAGATATACTGAAAAACCTGGAAAGCTTTTCACACACCACTTGAACTGTATCAAAGTCAGTTTTGTGGGAAGGAGTTGGTTAAATAGGAGCTGGATGCAGTCAATTCCTCCTTCTCTCAGAACTGACATCCTCTTCCCCTCTGGAGTCTGCCTGTGCCAGTAATAGCCAGAACAGATCCTCTGGGGTGCTCTGGCCCCTTTGTTCCTACTGCAAAATTCACAGAAAATGGCTAGATTGTTGCTAAGACCAGACAAGAAGTACGCCTAGGGTGAGAGCAACTGTGTAGAGAAACAACTGTGCCTGATTATTTTGCTACTCATCAAAAACGCTTTAGAAAACACTGTGAAAGCTATGGTGTTACGGTTCTCTGAACTCTCTGAAAATGAGGTACTCATTTGCGTTGTTTCCAGTTCAGACACAGTTTGTTAAAACGGCATCCCTCGCTGCTGAGTCCGCTACGCTCTTATAGTCAAGAGCATCTAGCTGTTGGTGGTAATATACTTTTCCTGTCACTTTTTCCCACTGTCTCCCACCTTTAGTCACACATTTGCCAGTGAGGAGTTTGCCTAAGCTATGCCCTCCTAGTTCAGATATTTCCTGTCTTTTCTGTACTGTAGTTCTGTGGAAAATGTGCTTTCCTCGAGGTGTCATCATATTCCCATTGAAAAGTCTACCACTGCTATGGAGAACGGATGGGTGTGGGACAATATGTGTAGGTAGGTAAGGGCAAAAGCAGTTTATTATTTTTTTTCTCTCCTCTCTCCGGCCTGGGGCCTATATGTTGTCCCATTGACATCAAAGGTTTCGGCAGAATCAGAAGTGGGGATGTTGGCGCAGCCACAAGAAGATCGTAAGAGTAGCAAAGACAGGAGGAAGAAACAATTTTTTTCCTGGTATTAATACATAGTTGGAGACTGTGAGATCTCAGTTAGAGAATGGGAGAACAAGTATTTACATCTCGGCTTAGAGTTAGTAAGATATGTTCTGTTGGAGGTGGTTATTCAGTGCAAAATGCTCTTTCTGCCAATTTCTGTATCTTTACCACTGGGAAACAATCAGTTTGAGTTAGTAAGATATGTTCTGTTGGAGGTGGTTTTTCAGTGCAAAATGCTCTTTCTGCCAAACACTGCCAATTTCTATATCTTTACCACTGGGAAACAATCAGTTTTATTTTTCACAGCTGCTTTTTGAAAAGTTCTGGATAATTTCACTTTGGTAGGCTTAAAGAACATTAAAGTTGAGATTTCAGGCAGGCTTTTATATTGCTGCTGCAAGGTGAGAAGTCTCAATACCTTAATGTCTCCCACCTGTGGCAAGTTGGCCGACAGGACAGTGGAAGCTGAAAATTGAGGAGGTGAAGAGCTGGCGTACTGAACCTCTGGCAGCTTGCTGTTGTCTATGATATCTCCTGTTAGAGGGAAATTCCAGATAAGTGGCGGCAAGCCACAAAATTGTGTTTTACATCTCCTGAAACAATTTGTCAGAAGTTCTGACTTGCCTGAAATATTACTTGATTTTCCTCACCCCAGCCCAGAATGTCTCTTTCTCTTGAATGTTAAAATATCTCAGGGCAGGACTTCCCTTTTCCTCAGGCCAGCACTGGTTCCTTTCCACCTCCCCCACCGTGGAGTCTGACAAGGTTAAACGAGCTATACAATACTGCAGAATTTTTCCAGAAGCGCTGTGAAGCTTTAGCAGGCTGCGAGGCTTGTGGGCAAAGGGCATGGTGCAGGAGCCCAGGAAGACTGATCCTTCCAGCAGCATCGCTCAACAGGATTGCTTACAGTTAATGCTGCCAGGGGAAGGGAGAAGTGCACAATGCATATGCTCCCCTGTGTGCATGTACGTGCTCGTAAAGGCACACAATATGTAATATCCTTCCACCGTTGCCGTTTGTTCCTTACCATTAATCCCTCAGTAGGTCCTGAGAGAAAAATGAATGCATTTTATCTTTAAAATAGGATGAGATAAAGAAGTGCTGTAGTAGCATTTCAGTTTCCTAACTTGCATGCCTGAGACAGAAAGTGCTTAGCTTGAAGAGCTCTGGTGGAAGAGATAACTTGCAATATTATATTTTGAAGTAATTTTGAATGTGCCTTATGTCAGCTGCGTGACCCGGCTGGAAAGACTCACTCCAGAGCAGAGCAGTGCTAGCGGGGCCAGACCTGTCCATGTTATTAAGAATTTTTTCCAGTGGAATATATCCATTGTTATAAACTTTCAGAGGTTAACAAAGCTCAGAGTAGGGGTGGTACATTTATCTTCGGGAGGCCAACACAGACAATCTGTTCATTTTTACACCAGAGCCTGAGCTTGTGTGCTACGGGCTACATTCTTACTTCGTGATGGAAAGCAAATATTTTGTAACAATTTGGTAGTAAGGTGTAGACAACCGAGGTCTCACAGAAGGAATCTGAATCACTGAAGCCTAAAAATACAGAACTGGTGGATGTCTGTGCTTCTGTCAGACTTGCTCATTTGCAGATCAGTGCTCTGACTCCAGGTGCAACGAATCGAAGCACCATCAAGTCCTGGGAAAATGTGCTGTGAACATTTGGATCTGGAGAAAAAGTCCAGTCTGTGCTTAAGCCTTGAGTCACATTGCTATATCTCTATTATCCAACCTTAATTTTCTCTCAGGTGTTTTGTGGGGAAAACAAGCAAGTAAACTACAGGTAGCACTTTCTTTGTATATTTTTGTGGCTTTAAGAGGCTTGTGAAATACCGTAATGCACCATTGCGTGATTGAGGAGAAAAATATTTTCTTATTACAAATAATTTTATTTGGTTTATTGATCGCTAGACATAGTGCCTCTCCCCTTCCTCCCTTACCTCACCCCCTTTCAGATTTACTATGTCAATCTAGTGTGTTCAGAGGGAGCTTCAAGCCCTCAAAACATGGCCTTTTCCTTTCTGAGCTTGGTTCGGGGGAACTCAGGACATTGAAGGTAAAAGTCCAGATAGATATTGGACAGTCTGGCTTTAATTTGTAGAGGTTTATTGGTAGACATACTCTTTGTGAACAGCAACAGTACCTGCTTCTATACAAAAGCACAATATTAAGATACTCTTGTTATTTTTTTAACTCTTGTGGGAGAAGTTCACTGCTCATCAGTGTAAACAAAGATGGAGACAAAAGTACTGTATAACTCACACCTAGCTCTACACAGCCTGTGGGTTTCACTCACCCTGGTTTTCCAACTATTTCCTGAAGTCCTGTTTATCTGCTTCACTGTCACTCTCTTTATCCACTCAATCTGAAGTACCTGGCACTTTCTTTTCCCTCTGGAATTACCTGACCCTGATCAATCCTTTGAGGGTGGGAGTGGTGAATATGAAGAATATGAAACGGGAGAGGAGTTTAAGGTTGCAATCTTGAAAGAACACAGGAGCTGAGTGCACGCTGCTGGTCAAGTGCATCATCTGGGAGCCTTTTGCTGGGCTTTTCTGACTTTGGCTTTATCTTTTTCTGTGATGAGTGTTACTCTCCTCCTTACCTTCACCCACAAGTGCACAGAAGATATCAGAGTACTTAGCATGGAAGAAAAGTGTTCAGTGAGGGTGTTTTCTAATGCTTGCAGCTTTGTAATCCTTTTAGGACACTGAGGAGCATCATGAGTTAGCCTCAAAAAATATCTGGAGCAGGGACATTATGTTCCTCATGGCTTGACTATTTATTAAAGTTGCTGGACAGGATCAATGCAAATTTTTTTTTTCTTCCTATATACTCTTGAATATCTGATAAAGGGCAATTTATCTCTCAAAGTGATACTGCATATAGTCCTGATGGATGATGTCTACAGTAGAGCTGAGCCAGTCCTGTGCAGGAGCTGGCTAATGAAACAAACAGCTGCTTCATCCCAAGAAAGTAGGCAGGAAGCTAGTTATAATTACGAGCCTCATGGCATGAGCTGACAGTTTTCAGGAAATACTACTGCCGTGTATTATGCCTTACACTTGCATTTTTTTTCTATTTCCTGCAGCTTGTTAAATATACAACAGTTCTCCTTTTCCTCCCCCAGCACAGTACCAATGTTGGGAACTATATTTAGTTCTTGTCAAGTTATAGCAGGCTTTTTATAATCACAAAGTAGTGAAAAAAAAGGCCAGCAACACAGTGAAGGCAAATATTTGTAGTATACCACAAACCTTTCGTGTAACCTAAATATTTAGAAAGAACAGGGGTGTAGGAGGATGCTGTACTTTTTAAAACATGGAAAAGATAAGGAGCAGCCTCCTAAGTATGCTGACATGTTGGAGAATTCTTTTTCTGCAGCATGAGTGAGCAAAAGGACTTCTTCCTTTTGTTCAGAAAATGTTTGCTGATTGAAGATGATTTAGAAAAGCCAACAGTTAACTTTTAAATAAAAGAAAACACACCCAGGCAGTTCAGCTGGCACATGTAGGACTGCAGTTGAGAACCACAACCACCATCTTCAGTGAAATAGAAGTGAATGTTATTCCAGTGGGTCTTGAGGGACTCATTAGCACTCTGAAAACACCGATAACTTTAAAATTTTCCTTTAACAAACACTGAAGTAGAAAAGCTTGCAGTGCGGTCTGAAGGACAAGAAGTGAGTTGCGCAGTCTGTGGCTGAGAACGGCTTTCTGCCCAAATGGCCTTATATATGCATGGTACATTTTTAGTTTCCGACTGTTCATTTTTAAGTTGGTTTATTCTGAAAAAAAAGTCTTTCCTTCAATTTTTATCTCATTTTCTGTTATTTCATTCCCAGCTGTTTGCTAGCTTTTCCTTTCATGTCCTCTTTGTCATGGAAAATGGTGCTGCAACTTGGGATCCATCAGAATAATTGAGGTGGAGATAATCAAGGCTTTGTTGTGAGGCATCACGAGCAAATTCTATGCTGCAATCTGTGAATAGCAGGAGTTAAATATAGGTGCATCGAGGGTTTCTACTTTAATCTGTTTTCTAGAGACCTTGTTTTGGAGCTTTTGAAACATTCCTTTGTTTCATTTCATTGCTCAATTTTTTAGACTTTGTTTTCAATAATTTTCAAAACCTGGCAATGAATTGGTGCACCAAATAGAATTTGACCTGTTAGTCATGAGGTAGAAATGTAATTGTGTGCAGCATGTACAGACAAGGTCAATGGGTGTTGATGCTATCAAAGTTGTTTTCATTTAAATGTAGCATTACAGACCTGTTGTTCAAAGTCTGTGATATATTTGGAGCATTAAAGCAGCACTCCATCAGTGGAAACACATGCTCGTATCTGTTTAGATGACAACCTGATTCTTAAAAATGTTTGAGTTTGATAGTATGCCTTTCTCATGTGCATTATTACCCTATAAATTACCCTAAAAATTATCTTTTGTAGATCTAAAACTGTTGCTTTTTGATTTGGCAAAGTGCCCTTCTGATAGCTGAACTCAATATTTCTGCTATCTGTTGCTGTGTTCACATTCTCATACCCAATTTATTCTTTTCTTTGCAGATCAGGAAAAATGTGATGATGATGAGATGGAGCGACTTTACAAGTCATTAGAACAAGCAAGCCTGTCTCCCATTGGTGATCGCCGGCTGTCAACGAAGAAGGAGCTTAGAAAGTCATTTATCAAACGCAGCAAAAACCCCTCCATTAATGAGAAACTCCACAAAATTCGAATGCTGAACAGTACATTGAAGGTGAGGTCGCAGAACTAACCAAGGGAAAGCCTGAGAGAAAGGAACTGTTTGACTGAAAAAAGAAGGAAGCCTAGACCTCAGCCAAACTCTAATTACATATTTACTTAAAGTCCCAGAGAATTTAGTTGAGTTTTTGAAATTTCCTACTTCATTCTGAATACTGAGTGGTGATTTGTTGTTCAATTTGAACTGGAAGCAGAGGCAATAGTTCAGAAGGGACTCTTGGTGCAGAAGTTCCAGTCCATTTTGAAAATTTAATAAAGAAAGCTTCTCTTAGCTGGAAAACTTGCAAGCTCAGCTGAATGCATTAAACAGGGGAGCCTTAGAAAAGGAAGAGCAGAAAAAGTATGTTGATGATAAAGGAGATGAAAATGACCCTGAGCCAAAAAAAGTTTTCCTTATGTGATTATTGGAGAATGTACAGGACGTGCCAAAGCTATTGTAAAGACCTCCTGTAACTAAAATATTTTTAATAACAAAAGCATCCTGCTTTTATGTTGGAAATGTATCGTGAACCGGAGGGGTTCAGGGGACGTTTCATGAAAGGGCCAGTAAATCTGCCTGGAATATGGGGATTTATGAGGCTGTTTACTCACCAGCGTCAAGTGTCATGGGATTTCAAAGCCTGCTTCTGAATGGTACTGAGGGAAACAGAAAGCTTAACTATAGCATTTAAATTGTAAGGAGAAGAAAGAATAAATGTAAACCTGGGACTTGTTTCTTTTTTTATGCATTAGAAGCACAAATCGAGTATCTTTCTTCAAGTGCGTGTATTTGGCTGCAGGCATTGTAAGCTGGAGAAATGCATGTAAAAACTTCTCCTATCAGCACAATCACAGATTTGATTATTAGTTGCAATGGGAGGCTTGGCTTTGGCACTCTGGCCTGTGTTAAAATTCTTGAGCACACAAGTTGAGAAGACAAGTGGGAATATAGGCATCCTCCCTGGCTCCAATTGAGACCTGGTGGAGTCTTTCCTCAGTATCAAAGAGTCTTCAGTGATATGATACTGACTACAGCAGTATTCATCTGCATCAGCAATCAAGTGAGCCCATTATATAATAGAAAGTTAGCTTGAAAAGTATGCCTATTTTATGGGACAGGAAACTAAGCATAGAAACATACTGCAAAGTTTTCCCTGATAGGAGCCTCTCTAATAAATCTAAGACCCAGTTAGTACAAAATGGAGTTATATCTTGTGAGACAGTCAACTTCATTAGGATGGAGATGCATGGAAGCCTTACTGCCAGACATGAGCAAGGAGGATATCTTTGCATTGATTTAGCATGGGATTATTGTATAAGTTGTGCTTAGCAGTTTTTATAACCTTAGGCTTGTCTAACACTTGTGTTTAATATGGAAAAATAATTTTTAGAGTGTTCATAATGTATGAAATGTGTTGATCTTTCTTTTTCCGCTTTCTTCAGACTAAGAAATTGGAGTATTGACAAGACAAATATAGCACAGACATTTTCTCACAGACACAGAGTTCTATACACAGCAGTGTTTGAGTTAGCCTGTCTGAGAGGCAAATGCCTGCAGTGTGAAAGTGCCATATTCTTTGCATCAGTGGGATTATGTACTTTTAAAGTCAATTTTCTGAACTTATAAGATGAGACATGACATAATTGGAAATGATCTATTGGAAATTGAAAAATCAGGAAAGTTTTGCATCTGGTCCAATTTACTTTGTTTTAATTAAAACTCTATTAGTTAGAGAAGTGATTTACGCAAGATTCAGTGCAATTTTGATTTTGGACTTTTGACTCCACATCTTTAACAACAGATTAGTGTTATTGCCACAACATATCATTAAAAAAACATGCTTTGGATAGTTTGGAAGAGAGAGAAGCTGTGTGCAAATGCATCACAGGCTTAATGAATGTGAGAAATAGATTCAGTGGTACAGGCTTTTCACCAACAGGTTTGCCAACTGGAAATACTCTTTACTCCCTTCTACCTCCCTATCTCCTCTTCTTTTTGGCTAACTGCACATACCTCTGCATCAATGTCAGAAGCCTTCTTACAAGGGCTGACACTAGATCTTGAGGGTAGGACTTGTGTAAATCAACAGTTGAACAAGCTTTTCTGTCTGAAAGCACCTCAGGTGTCACAGGGATTAGAATAGCTGATAGCTCATTAGAGTAGTAGTGGGATATGGATGCGTAAGTGTCGTGAATGTGTGAGAGTATTTTCAAAGTGTTTTCAAGGCAGCCACTAGCACAGAGCGTCCTCAGGCATGATGAAACTGGTGGCTGCAGGAGAAGATGGTTAGAACTATTTTATTGCTTTCACACACAGACTGGGAGGGATGGAGCCATGCAAAAGCAGTAAAGGTTTGTTAGCGCAGCATGGTGCCTCCAGTAAGAAATTTAATCTGCTAACGAAGGCTTCTCTATCCTGTGGTCCACTGCATGGATAGGCAATAAGGGCTGGAAAAGCAGACTGGTTCGTTGTGTCAGAAAATGTGAGGACATCTATGAATATAAATGTCCGAAAGGGGGTTTTGAAGAAGAAAGAGCCAAGCTCTTTTCAACAGTGTCTAGTGACAGGACCAGAGACAATGGCCACAAACTGAAATGCAGGATGTTCCCTCTGAACATCAAGGAGCACTTTTTTACTGTGAGAGTGACTGAGGACTGGCACAGGTTGCCCAGAGAAGCTGTGGAGTCTCCATCCTTGGAGATCTTCAAAAGCTATCTCGACAAGGTCCTAGGCAGCCTGCTCTAGGTTGCTCTACTTGAGGAAGAGGATGGGAGTAGATGACCTCCAGAGCTCTCTTCCAACCTCAACAATTCTGTGATTCTGTGACATAACAAGTCTCAATGTCCCTGCATCAGCGACTGTTCATGTCTTACAATTGAACTAAGGTGCCTGCAATATATGGTCTGAGCTGCTCTTGGCGAAAGTAGAGACCAGATTTAGTAGTAGTAGCTGGCAGTAATGTATTGGCAGCTACATGTGCTCTAGCTGCTCTACTGCCATTGCACAGATTATATCCAAAATTATTTTCTGTCTAGCTCTCAGAGAAGAGATATTTATAATGTGGCTAGGGAATAAGTATTTTTTGAGAAAGTTGGAACTGGTGTGAATTACAGAAATAAATGCTGTTTTGTCTAGTTTCATGCAAGTACTGACTTGTTGTGAGACAGCATAACAACGTCCAATTTTCACATGAATCCTGTCTCTGAAGTTTTACTAAGAATCCTATAAAATAGAAAATCTACATGAAATCGTAATGTTGTCTTCAACTGGGATAAATTTCTGCTGTGAACTTAACTTTGACGATCTATATTCTAAAATTGGGAACAAGTTGCCAGGAGGATGGATAATTGGCCATCTCCTTGTGACTTGGTTCTCTAATGTTCCCAGAGTATTTTTGTTATGGACAATGAGCTTGACGATTTCTGTGGGAAATAACCACTTCTTCTCTTCCTAGTGTAAGGAACATGACCTGGCCACAATTAACCAGTTGCTAGAGGACCCGAAGTTGACAGCAATGAAGTACAGAGAGTGGAGGAACACAAACATCATGCTGGTCCAAGATATTTATCAGCAGCAGGAGGTCCAGGACATGTCCACAGAGAATAGCGAGGAGCAAGAGATGACTCCACAGCCTATTGCTGAAAGTGCTGTCTGAGGCCATGGTTCAATGGTTCATGGCAAGATTTTTCTCCACGGGTCTTCGTGTACAGGCACTTTAAACTGCTGCATTTTGAGGTTTGTTTTTTCCAAGTCTTCTTTGAAAGGAAAACAACCCCTTCTCCATAGCTTTAATTCCTCTTGCAAAACTTACTTCATGTCAAAAGGGCGAATCCCCCAAATTAAAAAAGCATGCCTGAACCTGAACTGCATACCTAAGAAGACTATTTTATGAAGCAGTGAAGAAATGTTTTTCCATCTTTGGAGAAGTAAATTAAGTATGTCCAACTCCTGGAAGTTACAGAACTGTACAATATGTACTGTATAAATGTGAGATCTTTGAGGTTGTTTTAACCAGGTAAACTTACCATTAGAGGAAACTAAACCAGTACCAACAGGACGTAGTCTAATTTCTACCTTTTTACCCTGTAAGATAACCCGATGTATGCATTTTCATCTCTGCATTCATTCACTTTCACCACTCTACCAGTTTAAACTGAGACAAGTAGAATAGTAAGTATGCATGAGTTTATACTACAGACAGCCGTCAGGCACACAGTTTGTGCTCTGCCTGATGTTTTATGAGTGTCAAATTTATTTATGGACCAAACCAAGGTACTGTCTTTCTACATGAAGAAGAGGAGGTCTCTCAATGTTTGCTAACATGTAATTTACTCTTCCATGAGGCAGCTAATGCTTCAACAAGTTTCAACTTTTCTTATGGACTTGGCAGAATTCCTTGCAAAATTGTTTTCTTCTTTCTTATTTTTGACAATATATAAGGTACAAGTTCATCCCAGATTTCTACTGAGAAAGGTGACCAAGTTCACAAGGCAGAAGCTAAAACATTCCTGATGTGCACCTGGAAGTGTAAAACACAGCTGCAAATATTTTTGTAAATATATGTCATTTTATGGCTTCTATGAATGTGACTGTACTGTATATATGTTTTATTTATATATTTATATGTGCTGAATCTTGTAATGTAGATAGGCATACATGGACCAGACCTACCCAGATGAGAATGCTTACGGGTAGACTTGAAATGTCTCTTTGTGTTTTGTTCCATTATGAATCACAGTAATAGCGCTACAACTGAGACTATCCTGGGACATCTGCTATAACTTTTTCTTCTGTCTTTCTAGCTTTGAGTTTTAGATGAAGAAAATCTGTACAACTTAGGGCAGGAAAATAAGTTTTCTAGAAAGTTTTATGATTTCCCTTTGGGCAAACCAAAATAGCATTAAGAGGTTTTGCTGCAGGAGGATCATAACTTTTTGCCTTTGTCATCATCAGTACAAGGTTTGAGTTTTTTGCCTTCCCATCTTCTGTGTGTGTACAAGTATAAGGAACTTTGCAGAGTGCTGAATTTTGAAAAGTAAGAATTAGCCCAGAATTCTCAAATAAATGCCTCTACAGGAACAGTGGCAATCTGCATTTCTGTTGACTATTTCATAAAGATATTCTTTGTCATTAGTTTTCGATACAGTTTGTCTTTTCAAGCAAAATACACTATACAGATGCAGCCATATTAACTTATCTTTATACATTTTATGTTTTATCGTAGCTTGATTGAGAAAGCAAAAGTTAATAGTGTTAGTGGAAATATGTGAAATCTTTTCCACCTGTGTAGTGATAAGTCTGACTCTTGATACTGCATTTTTAATATTCAGCAGCTTTCCTTTTAAAATAGAGATATGGAATTATGTCCCAATGCATCTGAAAATGGCAGTTAGGGCTATCTTGAGTGTGAGAACTGAGGAGCAGATAGTAAGCTATAAGAAAGGGGAAACAGAAGGAAGAATGTAGGCTTCTTTGATACAGGATTTAATGGGAGAGGCTCAGGGAAAATGAGAGCTGGTTGAATGCAGAAGCAGGGCTGTGCTTGAAATAGCATCACTGCCTCAGGTATAAAAGAGTTTAGGAGTGTATGGGTAAGAACTGTGGGTCAGGACTTAATAATATGGCTAGTCTGCTGGTGGTGAACAAGCATTAGGTGAGACCTGGAAGTGGGTGACAATGACTAAATGGGGGAGCTGACATAAAAGCCAAGTTGGTTAAAAAGCTATTGTTTTCAAGAAATTGTCACGAGTGGTGATTTCATCACTTCACTAATTCTAAATAGAAGTTGATAGGAATTAAGCAAGCTCAATAGCTGGTGCAACTTGGTTTAGAGTAACCGTGTCTCAAAAATTGACCCCGTTTTAAGTTTAGTGTTTTGTTTTGTTTTTTAATTTTTCATCATTCACAGAAGTCCCTCTGAATGGCAGACATCTGTGAATGTCCTGCTCCCAACTGAAATTCTTCAAAGCAGATGCATAGGTGGTAGAGGGATAGCCCCTAAATTTGACATCGTGTCAATTAACTACTGAGAGCACACTGAAAATTAGAAGTATAGGGATTAATCTGCTTGGTCCATCTGAATTTTAACTATCTGGTGCTAAATAATTGATAAGTAGCCGAGGTCAAATTGCATGTACTTTTTCATTCGCAAATGCGAGTTTCTCATGAAGCGAAGTGTGTAAACATTTTTCATCAAAAGCATCTTCACTTAGATCTTAAAAACAAGCACATGCTTAAGTGGCCTGTCCAACTGGGCCAGACGAGTCAGTGCCTTGCAGTTCCAAGAAGGTTGAGCTTTTAAATTACTCTCTTTCAGATGATCAGTAGGTACTTATTTTGAACTATTGAGTTTTTGAAAACCTATTGACGATGGGCTCTATCACCCTTTTCGAAAAGAAGAGAAAATTCTTTATTAGGGTTACTTTAATGCAGTTGTTATGTTAAGAAATTTCTGTGTGTTCAAGAAAATGAATGTATGAGTTTTATGCAAGTGCAGTGCTGAGATTATATCTCCATTCTTTTGAGCTACTATTTAGACCCAGAACACATGGAAAGTGTGGGAAATGTGAAGTGAAAATTGTAGTGAAACAGGATTCATTTTCCACCATTGCTAACTAACGTGATGGTTTTGACCTGGTGCTGGATTCATCACTAGGGACTGCACAGCAACGTGAAAGCCACAGTTGAAGAAACAAGCGTGCACAAACCGACAGCTACAATCAGCGGGTGCAGCTGGGAGCCACCTTGGCAGGAGAAACTTCAACAGCTCTGTCATCTGCTCAGTGATACCTGGGACAAAGGGTGTCTGTTGGTCTGAATTTGAAAGGCCTGCACTATTGACTCACAATGTAGGGAAACTGTGCATCCCTAGTGAATGTCCAAAAGCCTTTTAACCATCTGCCTCATGGGACTTGTTTTATGTACTTTTTCAGGAGAAAGTGTGTATGTGTGGACGTGTGCACATGCACACTTATTCTTTTGTCGAAGCCTTTTGGTATTGGTGCAGTAAGTCCAGCTATGCAGATTTTGGTGTAACTAATGACAACATCTAATTTCAGTTGTTTCTGCAGCCTGTCTTTGGTGACTTTTCTGGAAATTCAGTCTCTGTTTTGGTGATGTAAATCTCATGAACTACCAGATTGAGGTGCGATCACACTTCCTTTCCTAAGATGAGAGAAGTTTCATGTGGGAACCATGAACCGTTTCTGCACCTAGTTCTCACAATTTACTCAATACTGGGTTTCACCTAAAACAGGAATAAACATAAATAAAAAATGTGCTACAACCTTTTCTTTTTGCAAATATTTTCTTTTAGAGGAAACCTTCATATTGAAAGAAAAGGCTATTTTGGGACAATCAAAGAGGGAGAGGAAGAAAAGAGGTGGTATTTGATTTAAAACTATGTAGAATTTCAGAATTTAAAATTATTTCTAGATAGGAAAAATTATGGGCATGTTGCGTCTACTGTGTGAGCCAGTAAGTTTACATGTATAACACAGATTTAATATAAAAACTTGTATTTCTTAACTCTTAAAGTAGCACAGGGGTCCATGTAAGCATACTTCTCTGTAAGGAGAACCATGTACTGTGGTTGAAATTTGGGCTTTGGGCCTTTTTTGTTCTTTAGCTTGTTTGGTGGTACAAAAGTGACCAGTTGCAATGAGGGCCTGGGCTTACCGCATTTATACGAGACATGTCTTTCTGTTAACAGGAAGCCAAAGTGGCTTTCTTGTAGTGGTAGAGCCAAAGTGGTATTTCCTGTTTTGTGTCGAGCATTTTGAAGCAGCAGACATTTTAAGATGTCAGTCAGCATTTCCTTGATGCCTTGAAGATTTATCCCATTTTGGTCTGCCTCAAGCTGCCACTTTCTTTCATTTTTAAGAACTGGCTGCATTATCAACTAAAACAAAAATTGAGATGAAAAAAGGAAAAGGAAAAACAGAACAGAAAAGCTCTGAGCTAAGATCAGGCTGAAATTTTTGCCTCTGCACAAGGGTAATGGGAGCTAAGCTTGCCAAAAGCTAGGCATTTCAACACCGCAAAAAAGATTGTCAGTTGTTGAGGAGAGCACTACGTTCCTTGAAATTTACCGTGAGAGAAGTTCCAAGACCTGTCTGCTCTGGAAAAATAAATATTTTTCTGATTTATTTCCTCCTGGTAAAAATCCAAAGGGCTCAGTTTTGGGGCCTGTTCTCTTTAACATCTTTATCAATGATCTGGATGAGGGGATCTAGTGCACCCTCAGCAAGTTTGCAGATGACACTAAATTGGGAGGTAGTGTTGGTCTGCCTGAGGATCGGAAGGCTCTACAGAGGGACCTGGACAGACTGGATCGATGGGCTGAGACTAACTGTATGAAACTCAACAAGACCAAGTGCCAGGTCCTGCACTTGGGCCACAACAACCCCCTGCAGCGTTACAGGCTTGGGGAAGTGTGGCTGGAAAGCTGCACAGCAGAGAAGGACCTGGGGGTGCTGGTCAACAGCCGATTGAACAAGAGCCAGAAGTGTGCCTAAGCAGCCAAGAAAGCCAATGGAATCCTGGCATGTATCAGAAACAGTGTGGCCAGCAGGAGCAGGGAAGTGATTGTACCCCTATACTCAGCACTGGTGAGGCCACACCGTGAGTACTGTGTCCAGTTTTGGGCCCCTCAGT